AGTAGTGGAACTACAGAAAGAGCCTAGATGTCCATCAACAGATGAATGGGTAAAGAAGATGTGGTATATATATACAATGGACTACTACTCAGCCATCAAAAAATGAAATCTTGCCATTTGCAACGATGTGGATGGAACTAGAGGGTATTAATGCTAAGCGAAATAAATCAGTCAGAAAGACAAGTATCATATCTCACTTATATGTGGAATTTAAGGAACAAAACAGGATCATAGGGGAAGGGAGGGAAAAATAAAACAAGATAAAATCAGAGAGGGAGACAAACCATAAGAGACTCTTAATCATAGGAAACAGAGTTGGAGCAGAGGGAGGTGGGGGGATGGGGTAACTGGGTGATGGACAGTAAAGAGGGCACATGATGTAATGAGCACTGGGTATTATATAAGACTGATGAATCACTGAACTCTACTTCTGAAACTAATAATACACTATGTTAATTAATTGAATTAAAAAAAATAAATTCTGGCCCTAAAGCATAATAACTGCCTTTGGGTTAGTCAGGAAGTAATGCATATAAAAGTATTAGTTGGACTAATGCCTGGAATATAGTAAGCAGTCCAGTAACTATCAGTAATTATTAAGGAACACAAATCTCATTGAGCCCTTTTTCTGTGCTAGATCCTGTGCTTGGTGCTAAGGAATTAAAAAAATGATAGGATGTTCTTCCTAGGAACCTAGCACAGAATACTGTTTTTTTCCCTTCAAAATCCTAAAACAATCTAAATATTGAATAATAGGTACCTTTTTTTTAAACAGTCTACTTTTATTTTTTTATTTACTATTTTTTTAAAGATTTTATTTGTCAGAGAGCACAAACGCACAAGCAGGAGGAGCAGCAGGCAGAGGGAGAGGGAAAAGCAGGCTCCTTGCTAAGCAAGGAGCCTGATGTGGGGCTCAATCCCAGGACCCTGGAATCATGACCTGAGCTGAAGGCAGGCACGTAACTGAGCCGCCCAGGTGTCCCCTGAGTAATAGATATCTTTATACAAATTTAATTTTTCATTCATTTAGATTTGTGTCTGGCTGTTGCCCTGCTGTTGTTGATTACATTTACCACACAACTGCCCTTGTCTGGCACTGTAACAGGTACTGAGGGAAAGAAATGTGAATTAGATAATCATAGCTGCCCTCACTAGAAGCCTGTGGAGGCATGGTTTTTAGTTTTAAGGAACCGATTAACAAATATACATTTTTCTTAGAGCGTTCCTTGACAGAATGTAGTATTATCCTGCAGCTGGATAACATTTTATATTTTGGATTTACCCAGTTAACAAGCCCTTGAAGGGTGTGTGGCTTTGGAGACCCATCATATTCACATTTAATTTACTGAAAGTTTAAGTGTGATTTTTCCCTAGCCACCCACTTTCCGCCACCTCCTCCACCCTGGACTTCACTTCCTGAAAGAGAGGAGGAGCTAGAGCAATTTAAATGTAAGCCATTCATCTCAACTGAGCACGTGCTCTGTACAGAGAGACTCCCATGTGGGAACTCGAAGCTGTGTTTTCCACCTGCCTTTCACAGTGTAAGCGTCTTGCCATCACACGTGAATTCTGGTGTTTAAAAATAAGTATTGTTCGTAAGTGAGTTCTAAACTAAGTCAACTATTTTGTGTACTCTCAACTGAAAACCTGTGTTCCAGTCCTATAGGAAACGTTAACTGTGTTGCACTTAGAGCCAGTAGGTTGATGCCCATTATACTGTGCCTTCCTAAGGGGTTTCAGAGGTAACATGACAGCCCAAGAATCAAGCTGACTACAAAAACAGTCAAAATTAGTAGGAGTCTGAATCACTGGCTTCAGGAAGCTTATAATCTAATTGGAGAGAATATACTAGAAAGATCATCTCTAAATTCACAGTAAAGGATACTGAGGAATCATAAGGATAAATGGCAGTTGCATATTAGAATGGCCCCAGTTTCATGTATTCTGTTCTGTTGCCCCCATAAATAAAATCCTTTTTATGAGGCAGCAGGTCCACAGTCTTTGGTTTAGCAAAACGGTTTTGATATCTCTAAAGAGAATACAAGAGAATGAAATGGTTTTATCCATCAAAGTTTCTTGGAAGTATCGAATTGGGATTTAATAGCTAGAGAGATAAAAGGCAGGACGTTTCAGACAGGGAAAGTGTTAAAGGCACGAAACATGGAAGTATGGTTGATCAAGCAAAGCTGTGTATCTTTTTATTTGGCCCGGTGATTGGGAACACGCTGGAGGGTCACGGGATGAGGATGATAAGGAACACGACCACTAGACTGAGGAGTTCACATACATTCTCTTGACCATTATCTGTTCCTCATCCTACTCATAATCATTAACTTAGAACGCAGAGACCATTTGAGATTGCTTTGTAACCCATCTCATGTTACATTTAAATTGTGAATTTTATTGGAAACACCAGTTTTAAAATAATTTTTCTGTCTTGTGTAAAATCATATCGGACGTGGCTATGCGGTTATTTTGTAATCCGTTTTGGGAGTCTGTGTGATGTAATAGAAAGGTCAGAAACGGGTCAGGAAACCAGGGTTCTGGCACCGCTCTGTCACCTATTAGCTTTGTGACCTTAGGCAGTCACTTTACCTCTCTTAGTTTCTTTACTTCTCAAATGGTACACCAGAGGTTTACATGCTATACTTTTTTTTTTCTTCTTTTCAGTGATTTCTTCTACAAGTGAAAGTTAGAACTCTTGTTGTTATAAAACAGATCTGATCTCCTTAATGGGGGGTAGGGAGCTAAAAGCCCTAGCTGCCTACCCAACCCCACTTCCCCAAAGTTCTTCCTGGGAGTATTAAGACTCAGAAGAACACAAGTGGAAAATCCCTGGACTAGATCCCTAAAGTTAACATTTTTCCATACTTACATGGATAAACTGAGTAGCATTTCTTAAAAACGATTTTGAGGAGAGGGGTGCCTGGGTAGCTCTGTCAGTTAAGTATCCAACTCTTGATTTTGGCTCAGGTCATTTATCACAGCGTTGTGAGATTGAGCCGGTTGTCAGGCTCTGCACTGGGCATGAAGCCGGTTTAAGATTTTCTCTTCTTGGGGCACCTGGGTGGCTCATTCATTAAGCGTCTGCCTTCGGTTCAGGCCCTGATCTCAGGGTCCTGGGATCGAGTCCTACATTGGGCTCCCTGCTTGGCAGGAAGCTTGCTTCTCCCTCTGCCACTCCCCCTGCTTGCGTTCCCTCTCTCCCTGTGTCTCTCTGTCAAATAAATTAAAAAAAAAAAAAAAAGATTCTCTCCTCTTCTCCCCCTCTTTAAAAATAAATTTTTTTTGAGGATATACTGTAGTACTAACTGTAATACAATCTATTGTACACTTAATAAGGTAAGATTGGGTACAGTAAACAGTCTGAAGGGAAAAGAGCATAAATACACTTGAAGAGTAAGAGGGGAACAAAAGAAAGTCTCCACAACTATTTATAACCCAACTTGTATGGAGATTCGAGACAACCAGATTGTCTGCCTTAAGATTGCTAGGGAGATTAAGAAGAAAGAAAGGAAAATGAGTTTGTGTGTTTAATTTTGTAAGATTTTAAAAATTTTTGTCTTATTTATCTTTTGAATGGGAGCTAGAAGTATACTTGGTACTAAAATCCAAAAAGAACAAAAAGATGTGAGTTGAAAAGACTCCCTCTCATCTGATGCCCATCCTTCCAGTTCCCTTCTCTGGAGGCAGTCACCATGACCAGCTGTGTAAGCTTCCAGAGTTTATGGAATCACTTCCATATTTATGGGGATATTAGTTTCCTTTGGCTACTGTGACAAATGAGCACAAACTGGGTGCCTTAGGACAACAGAAATGTATTTTCCCACAGTTCTGGAGGCTAGAAGTTTGAAATCTGTATCACTGGGCTGAAATCAAGGTGTTAGCAGGGCTGAACTCCCTCCAGAGGTTCTAGGGGAGAGTCCCTTCCTTTCTTGTGCCAGTTTATGTTGCCTGCCAGCACTTATTCCTTGGTTTGTGGCCCCATCACTCCAGTTTTTGAGACCAGCACCTTCAAATCTCCCTCTGCTCTGTCTTCACATAGCCTTCTCGTGTGTGTGTGTGTGTGTGTGTGTGTGTGTGTACACTCTCCTACTTCTCTCTTACCTGGATACATGTGACTGCATTTAGAGCTACATTTAGACAATTCAGGGTAATGTCACTATTTCTAGATCTTTAATCACATCTGCAAGGACTTTGCCATATAAGGTAACATTCACAAGTTCCAGGGTATTGTGATGTGAATATCTTTTGGGAGGCCATTTTTCAGCCTACTACAGCAATAAAACAAATAGCGTACTATACATACTTTTCTGAACCTTGCTTCTAAGAATGTAAAACTGGAATAATCTAACATTAATTCAAGACTGGTTAAATAACGAAATATCCATAGAGTGGAATATGGTGTTACCACTCACTACAAATGAAGTGGATATATACTGACGTGGAACCATATTCACTATAAAGTAGAAAAATGCAAGTTGCAGGGGTTCATAGGGGTAAGGTGTGAGTTTGGAAAGATACGTATCAAACTTGTGTGGCTTCCTCTGGGGAGTAGGACTGGTGGACTTTTTTTACATTACATGTTTGTACTTCGGAATTTTAAAATCGAATGTATTTTAGGGGCGCCTGGGTGGGTCAGTTGGTTAGGCGTCTGACTCTTGGTTTTGGCTCAGGTCATGATATCGGGTCATGAGATTAAGCCCCATGTTGGGCTCCGTACTCAGCAAGGAGTCTGTTTGGGATTCTCTCTGTCTCTCTGTCTCTCTTTCTCTGCCCCTCCCACCATCTGTGCATGCTCACTCTATCCCTCTCCCTAAAATAAATCTTTTAAAAAAATTTAACAAAAATAGAGAACCTTTAAAACATGTACTTTATAATCCATGTGTTTTAGAATAAATCCAGAAGAAAATGGACTTCAGTTTAATTTTTCTGGATGAATTACATTGCAGAAGCAATACAGGATTATTGCAATTTAATCTTTTTGATTTGTTTCCCAGATAGCAGACCCTACATTAGCTGAGATGGGAAAAAACTTGAAAGAGGCCGTGAAGATGCTAGAGGACAGTCAGAGGTGAGCCTGGAACAGAAGTGACCCTATTAAACGTGTTCAGCCTGTTGTGAAGCTGGTGGCACTGGTTTCTTGCTGGTAAAAACACCTCTTGGTTTCACAATGTCACGCTTAGCTTAGCTTCATCTGACTTTAAAGATGGTATTTGTTTTGGGTAGAAGGTACTTTGTAATTAAAAGATTTTGAAATTGAGGGGCAGGACTTTCTGATTTTCAGTTCTGCCTGTTAAGAGTTTCATTTACTTAATACATTGTTTGAATTCTATAAATACTCCTTGGTATATGTTAGGTTATATAGAGCATCAGCTAACCAGAAATGGGTTAAAGTGTTACTTGTTTCGGGGCGCCTGGGTGGCTCAGATGGTTAAGCGTCTGCCTTCGGCTCAGGTCATGATCCCGGGGTCCTGGGATCGAGTCCCGCATCGGGCTCCCCGCACAGCGGGAAGCCTGCTTCTCCCTCTGCCTCTCTCTCTCTCTCTGTCTCTCATGAATAAATAAATAATCTTTAAAAAAAAAAAAAAAGTGTTACTTGTTTCATGTTCTTTTCCTGAAATTCAAACTATACCCCAGACTGGGGACTAGGGCAACAGGGATGGGGGAAGAGATGTGATAAATGTGTTTCAAATCCTACATCAGTTACTAAGAGCTTAAAGGCAACATCGTCACATGTTTGCGTGTTCAAATGTTAGAAATTTGGTAAGATAGAACAAATAGTTTTTTATTTTCTTTAAATTAGAAGAACAGAGGAGGAAAATGGAAAGAAGATATCAGGAGATATTCCGGGGCCACTGCAAGGCAGGTAGGTGGCAGTGAAGATACATACTTTTAGTTGGGTATGTGTTTTCTTTAAATCGAGATTTTCAAACCATTATTGATTGATAATTTCAGTTGTGATAAGCACAAAGCAAATTGAGAGTCCTGTGCCGTGTAACATCAGAAAATCGGAATGCCATTGGCTGGTTGTTGATTATGCTGAATCTACCTGCTTCTCCCCCTTTCTCATTCAGGATTTAATGTAATTTCCCATTCAGAATTTAACAACCTCATGACTCAAAAGCGATGCACAAACTTATAATTATATAACTCGACTGTCATACTTAGTTCATCCTTGAAACCTGTAATCTATTCAGCAGACTGCACTTTATGGTGAGAGATATGTTATTTTGATAAGATGTATCATTTTTATAATACAGTAAAATGAAAATGTCAACTTCGATCATTACACAGAGTGATTTATTTATTTATTTATTTATTTATTTATTTATTTAGGCAACTAAAGCAGATCTGTCAAGTGTGTGTGGTTTAAGCTAGCAGGGAGAATGTCAGAAAAAGAAGTAGCCATATAACTAAAATGTTCACCAGATGTTAGCCCTCAGTCTGGAATTAAAGTCCCAGCCCAGCTTCCCTCAAGCTTTTTTTTTTTTTTTTTTATAACCAGGAAACTGCGCATAGGTAAACAGTACAACTCCCTTCAATTGTCCTTTGACCTGAATGTGAATATATACAAGGTGCAAAAGAAAAGTATTGAGGAAGGACCACAGTGTGTCAATAAGTGTCCTATCTAACACACCCAGATGCTAATATTTTAAGATGGGCACTCCTGCTTGCAGCCTAACGGTGCTGATTTGAAGCCCTTGGATGTGAAGTGGGTTCTGCAGCTGAGAGCACGAACCAGATCCTATCAGGCCCCTCTTCCCACACCTCCGGAAGGGAATGAAAGGGTTCTACTAATCCCACAGAAGTTTCCCTACAAGAGATACTAGCAGGAACATCTCTAGTTCTCAGAATGGGAGGGCATAAAGCCACATAGCAGGAGTAGTTACATTTAATGCTGACACCAACATCTGAGACAGTGCTTTGCCAGGCACGGCGTTAAACGTGTTTCATGCACTGATGGTGTCCTCAAAATTCTGTAGTGTAGGGGCTTAGGGAGTTTGAGCAGCTGGCTCAAGGTCACGTGACTAGTGCACACTCTCTCTCCACAGTGTCCAAGGGCCAGAGCCCCTCTCACATGAAGGTCAGCACCTTGGAGAGGAAGGGTATTGGGGCATTGTTTCGACAGTGCTGCTTTTTCCAAAGAGAACTTTGTATTAGTCATATTCTCATTAACGGAGTGATAATATTTTTATATTACAGTTATTACAAGCTGCCTTGCCGTTGCTTAGTACTTTAGCTATTCACATTCTTGTAAGTTTTCAACCCCTCACGTAATAAGGGTTAGAAGGAAATCTGTTTGCACTCTAAGCAGATCTCCAGTTTCCCTGCTTGGGGAAGAGGTGGTAGTAAACAATGCTTGCATTACATGTTTAAGTCTGTTATAACAGCAGACAAGACTCCTCCGTGGAAGGAAACTAGCCACACCAGTGGCACTGGAGTATTCTTGCTCCTTCCGTGACCTTCCAGCATCTTAAAAAGACTATTTTGGTTCTTTTAACACGCTTATTAAATATTCTCCTTGGATTCAAATGAACAGGTCGAGAAGTAGTGCTGAAGTAATACTGGTGAAATTTTCAGAAATCAATCTCCTGTTTGCATAGAATATTTAATAATTACATGGTTATATGGAAAATTCAGTTAATTTGAGGTTTGTTTTTAAAAGATGTTTAGTGTATCTCTAGCACATTCTTACAGCTCCTCACTTAAAAAAAAAAAAAAACCTCATCAAGGCTGGTTTAAGTGAAGAAAATAGAGGGGTGGGGAATGTGTGCTGTTTCCACCTGTCCATCAGCTCTCTTCTTCTTCTGCAGCGGACAAGACATGGTGAGCATCCTCCAGGTAGTACAGAACCTGATGCACGGAGATGAAGATGAGGAGCCCCAGAGTGCCCGGTAATGCAGGACGGTTGGCAGCTGTTCTTTGAAAGTATATGTGTTCTTGATTTTGATAAGTGATTGCATTTTTTTTTTTTAACGGTGATTGCATTCTTACAAGTTGCCAAAACAGAGCTGTGTTTCATTCACAGTTACGTATGATGTTAAAACAGTGTTCATTTCTTCCTTTTCAGAGAGACATTTAATGTATTTTGTATTGTAGGTAACATATTTCGCAAAAGGTAGGCACTCAAACTAAATCCTGTAGTTTCTCTGGCATCGTGTCTTAGAGAGGGGCTGGCAGAGGGACCAGAGAATACTGCTGTGTGCTTCATGCTTCCGCTTCGGACTGCTAAGAATTGCCACAGCCGAATCTGTTGGTGGCAGGCCACGTTGTCTGTGAATCATCCATTTATTTTTATTCATCTAACTTAGCTATTTATTTAGTTTCATGGTTAATTGTTTTAAATTTAATTTTGGGGGGACAGAAGTAATCATTCTCCTTTTTCAAATTTCAAAAGATAAAGAAAGAGTCTACAAAGGCAGTTTTCAGTGATGTGATGGCATATGTTACCTGAACCCAAAATTGATGTGAATTCTAAAATTACAGAGGCCTTGGATGAAAAGGGGCATTTCCTTCATAGTCTACCCCCTCCCGAGCTTGTTCTCCTATATTCTTCAGAGATCCTTTATGTGTATGTGTACACAAGCAAAGTCTACGTTCCCTCCAGTATGTAAATACTCTCTATGTTGTTAGAGAGTTAGGTCTTAGAGTTCATCATTTATCAGTATACAAGGAGCTTTCACCTGTGAGAGCTGTTTAGTTTTACTTTGGATGAATGAACCATATTTTATTTAACTAGTCTCCTGTTCAGGTTTATTGTTGCAAACGCTGCTGCCAGTAACTCTGTACATGTGTCATTTATCATATAAGCAAGTGCTTCTGGAGATTAAAGTCTTAAAAGTGGGATTTCTGAGCCAGATAGTTTGTATATTTGTAATTTTGATAGATATTGCCAAACTTCCCTCCGTGGAATTATGCCAGTTTATAGCCCCACCAGCAGTGCATGACAATATCTTTTTGCCCACACCTTGGCTGCAAGGCTCCTAGCAGACTTAAGGACTGTTGCCAAGCTGCAAGGTGAGAAATGATATGTCAGCATAATTTTAGTTTACATTTTTCTTATGAATCACGTTAAGTGTCTTTTTAATATGTTTTAAGGCCCGTTTATATTTCCTTTACTATGAAATATCCTTTGCCTGGTATCCTATCTCATTTTTTGGTTGTATTCTTATCAATTTACACTTACTCTTTATAAGGGAAATTAGTCCTTCCATTTTAATTATGCATAAAACAATACCTGGGGCGCCTGGGTGGCTCAGATGGTTAGGCGTCTGCCTTCGGCTCAGGTCATGATCCCAGGGTCCTGGGATCGAGTCCCGCATCGGGCTCCCTGCTCCTTGGGAGCCTGCTTCTCCCTCTGCCTCTCTCTCTCTCTCTCTCTCTCTGTCTCTCATGAATAAATAAATAAAATCTTTAAAAAAAAAAAAAGTCTGGGGCGCCTGGGTGGCTCAGTTGGTTGGGCGACTGCCTTCGGCTCAGGTCATGATCCTGGAGTCCTGGGATCGAGTCCCACATTGGGCTCCCTGCTCAGCGGGGAGTCTGCTTCTCCCTCTGACCCTCTTCCCTCTCGTGCTCTCTGTCTCTCATTCTCTCTCAAATAAATAAATAAAATCTTTAAAAAAAAAATAAATAAAAATAAAAAAGTCTGCCGCTGTCTGTGACCTACCGGCCGAAACTTGAGCTTCAAGACCCTCCTCCTGAACTGACCCTTCCCAAAAGCCCCATAATTTTAGATTCATAATTTATGGTCTTTTACTTACAAGGGGGCCTCCAAAATGTATTATAGCCGAGCTCCATGAAACCAGAATCTGCCTTGGGATTTGGGTATTAAGGAAACTGTCAAAGTTACCTGTCCTGACTATCTCTTATTCACTGTGTGACGTTGAACCACTGACTTAACCTCTCTGAATAACCGCTTCCTTGTTCTGCTGGAACTCTTTCCTATTATGAGGCATAGATGAGACAAGCTATGGTGGGACAACTGAGGCCCCAGGACACAGAGCCAGCCAGAATTCGAACATGCTTTCTGAGTGCCCTGGGGAGGTCTAAACCCATCCGGGGGGCACCAGGTGAAAGGAGAGCATGAGGAGCGTGGGGCATGTGAGCTACACCTTGGAAGCGGAGTCTGTCTAATTTGGTCGCCAGGTGCTGTACGGAAGATAGCTGGGAGAGAGAAGGAGCTAAGACCTGGAGGGTGGTGTGTGCGTAGGTGTTTGTGTTGGAGGGGGGCGGGTTGTGGGTTGCAAGGAACTGCTGGAGTCTGTCCACCCAGAGCCTCTGTCTCCTGGTGCCCTCACCTTTCCCCCACTCCATACCACACACAGGAGAAATTCGATCCATATTTCCACGATTCTGTTAATGATCCGTGCGTGCCTGGGTAAGAAGGCAGGGTGTCAGGGAGAATATTTCAGGATGTAAACACAGCCTGGGCAAAGATGCAGAACCATGGCGGAATTTAGAGAACAGAAGGTTCTCTGTGATTGGAGTATGGGTTTGTGGGGGGCAGGACTGAGAACCAATAGCCACACTTCCAAGGGGTTCAATGGCCTGGCCTGGGCTGGTATGCCAGTGAGATCCTCCTGGAGCCAGTGAGGTCTGTGGGAGAGGACCACCGGTGCCCTCTGCAAGGAGAGCAGAGAGCTATGGAGGCAATCAGGTCACAGGCCTGCTGGGGCCAGGCTGGTGGGAAGCTACAGTAAGAAAGGACAGACAGGGGGCGCCTGGGTGGCTCAGTCGTTAAGCGTCTGCCTTCGGCTCAGGTCATGATCCTAGGGTCCTGGGATCGAGCCCCACATCGGGCTCCCTGTTCCGCGGGAAGCCTGCTTCTCCCTCTCTCACTCCCCCTGCTTGTGTTCCCTCTCTTGCTGTGTCTCTCTCTGTCAAATAAATAAAATCATTAAAAAAAAAAAAAAACCTGGTTCCCCTTGAATTTGCTGTATTGTTATAAACAGCTGTTCCATGTGGGGAATTGATCTTCATCTAATGAGTCTCTGAAAAAATTACTTTCTGCCCAGTGTACCTCAGCACTGTGCTCCATAGTTCTTAAGCTGGCATTTAATTAAAAAAAAGGGAGAAAATTATTCACAGTTTGTATATTTAGTAGATATTCAATAAAAATAAGGATTTGAATTTTTAAAATCTTTTTGTTCCCCGGATTATCAGTACTTTCTATACATAAATTTCTTAAGTTTATCTGAATTTTTACCTTCTAGGCCATTAAGTGGATTTCAAGTCTGACAGATTTCTGTGAAAATACTGTGTCTTTAGGTTTTGTTTTATTGCTTTATTCGTATTTTGAATAATACTCTTTTAACATAATTCATTTTGATTAACAGAATCCAGAATATTGGAGAACAAGGTCATATAGCTTTGCTGGGGCATAGTCTGGGAGCTTATATTTCGACTCTGGACAAAGAGAAGCTTAGAAAACTTATGACCAGGATACTTTCAGACACTACGTTATGGCTATGCAGAATTTTCAGGTAAGGACATATATGAGTTGGACACAGTTTTCTGGAGCTATGCTACCTAAGTTCATGTCTGCTTCTTCCCCTTCCTCCTGAAGGGTTGTTTAATCTCTGAATATCTGTTTCCCCATCTATTAAATGGGGAGAACAATATTTATGTCATGGTATTGTTACGAGGATTAAATGAGCAAAAGAATAAGCATATGTCAAGAGCCAAGAACATAAGCACATATAGTTTGGATAATGTCAGAGTTACTTGTTTTTAGGATTCCTGCTTGGCATATGTTGATAGAAGATAGAGTAGGAAAATGCTTCAGGTATTTTTAATCCAAATACTAGCTTGTGCTTTAGTAGAAGGGAAATGCTGCCATAAGGAATTTGAGTGTGTTATGAACTTGAAATTTGTTTTATGCTGTGATAATGTTGGCATTATTAAGGAATTATAGCAGGTGAGGAAGACATAGGACCAGTGGTATTTTTGTTTTTATGTTGTTACTTTTAAAGAAAAGGAATGTTTCCCTAACCCTGTAAGATTTAACTTGAGAGACTCGCTTTCAGATGTTGGGAAAGAGCTTGGCCTGGCAAGAGTATAAGTTTGCCTAACTGTATTGCAAAGGAGAAATTTTCTTCTGTTCTAATATTCCACCACCTGTAATTGACATTCTCTCTCCTTTTCTAGAAAGCAGACCAAGAAGAGTAATCGGCCCCAGGCACATAATAGTGAAAGCAAAAGTTAGGCTGCCTAGCATTTTTGACAATTTTATTTACTTTGGATGTTTTAGGGCTGAAACTGCTAAGACTGAGCCACCCAGGTACCCATCCTCTGTTCTTTATAACTTCCAGCTGTGAGGTGTGGTCAGCCATCTAAGATGAGGGTGATTCCTATCTTCCTTTGACTGTTCTAGGTGACAATTTCTAGGTTAAGAAAATAATTACTTCCAGGATAACCAAAGATAAGACCATACTGATATATGGCTGTCTCTTAACAGGTATGAAAATGGCTGCGCTTATTTCCACGAAGAAGAAAGAGAAGGACTTGCAAAGATTTGTAGGCTTGCTATTCATTCTCGTTACGAAGACTTTGTAGTGGATGGTTTCAATGTGTTATATAACAAAAAACCTGTCATATATCTTAGTGCCGCTGCTAGGCCTGGCCTGGGCCAGTACCTATGTAATCAGGTAATGTGGTATACAGTGGGATATTTTAAAGCAATTGTGTTTTGTTCTGTCCTGAAACTTTATAGTATGTAGACCCATTTCTTGAGCTGCAGTTTTTTTCAAATGAAAAGAAACATACACTTGTTTTGTCATTATCAGAAAATATATAAAGGTATATTAATTTTTAGATATATATATGTGTCTGTATGTGTGAAAAATATATATATATAAGAGAGCGCACGCACACGCAGGCAGGCGGTAAAGGGAGAGGGAGAGAGGGAATCTTAAGTAGGCTCCATACTCAGCGTGGAGCCTGACATGGGGCTCAGTCTCACAACCCTGAGATCATGACCTGAGCTGAAATCAAGAGTTGGACACCTAACCAACTGAGCCTCCCAGGCACGCTGTGTGTGTGTGTGTTTGTTTATTTTTTTAGTTGCCCAAAGGCAACCACAGTCGACGTTTTTTTTCCCCAGACTTTAATCAAAGAGTTTTTACATGGTTATGTCTGGCTTTTTTCACTTAGTGTTATAACAGGTACATATGCTGTTTCAACAGTTCTTCCAAGTACAGTTTATTTTTAATATCTTCATAATACTCCAAGTGACAGTATGGTATTTTAACTACTGTTTCCCTTTTGGGCAATTAAAGTGTTCACATTCTTTTATTTTCTCTGACCATTTTCAGGTAATGCTCTTTGCATAGGATTATTCTGGACATCTTTGTGTGTAAAGCTTTTCCTATATTTAGAAAATATTTTCTAGATTATATAGATTTTCAGAGTCTTTCTAGAATTGCTAGATTAAAGAGCATTACCATTTTTGAATTTCATGGTACATGTAGCCCAATTAGGGGGCTACAAAAAAATGTTCAGCCTCTTGGCCAACATTGTTTTAAAACCCATAGGATTGGAGGGTTTGTCTTTTGTAGGATGGAGGAATCCTGGGGTGATACATGGGGGAAACTCTGGGACCTAAGTTGATTATGAGCTGTGGTCACTGGTGGCAAGAAATTATGTCCTCTTTTTTTTTTTTTTTTTAAGATTTTACTTATTTATGAGAGAGAGCAGAGGGAGGAGCAGAGGAAGAGGTACAACAGACTCCATGCTGAGCGCGGAGCCCAACACAGGGCTCGATCTCACAACCCTGAGCTCATGACCCGGGCTGAAACCAAGAGTCAGATACTTAACTGGCTGAGCCACCAGGCACCCCTTATGTCCTCTTTTTGAGTGTGTATAGAATGAGCAGATTTATAATATCCTTACAGGAACCTGGAATAAATTACTTCCTGAGTATCTACTACAGGCCAGGTTCTTATAGACTCAAAGTTGTCTTGGGACAGCAGTCCAGTCTTCAAACTCCATATGGGGGTGGGGGTGTACCTGGCTGGCTCAGTCACAAGAGCATGCAACTCCTGATCTCAGGGTCATGAGTTCAAGCCCCACATTGAGTGTAGAACTTACTTAAAAAAAAAAAAAAAGCTTTATAAAGGTATTTCAATAAGAGAAAGGCAGATGGCAAAATATATATAAGATGGTCATATTCATGTTTTTGAAAGTGTTTATGTGTGAGGTGCCTGGTTGGCTCAGTCAGTGGAGCATGCGACTCTTGATCTTGGGGTCGTGAGTTCAAGCCCTACGTTGGGCGCAGAACTTGCTTTAAAAAAATAAAGTGTATATGTATATGTTTTTCATACCAAAAAAATATATAAATACTTAGAAAATATTTAGAAGGTTTTATACTAACCTCTTAACAGTAGTGGCTTGATGGCTTATGGGGTGGGAGGGCATTTTCACTTTTTTTATTTTTTTTGAAGATTTTATTTATTTATTTGACAGAGACACAGTGAGAGAGGGAACACAAGCAGGGAGAGTGGGAGAGGGAGAAGCAGGCTTCCCGCCGAGCAGGGAGCCCGACATGGGGCTCGATCCCAGGACCCTGGGATCATGACCTGAGCCGAAGGCAGATGCTTTACAACTGAGCCACCCAGGCACCCCGGCATTTTCACTTTAAACTTCTTTATTTTTTATTGTGTGTTTTACTTGGGCTTCAGTTTCATTATTTAAAAAGAAAAGGAAGAAAGTGTGCTTATTAAATTTTTGGTCTCGAAATGGTGCTACCAAGTCTTAGTTACACAGAACAATATGCTGCAACTGTTTAAAAATTTCTAAAACTATAAACTCAAGGATTTGGAAGCTAAAAATAAAGAATATAAAATTTATTTGAGGGCGCCTGGGTGGCTCAGTCATTAAGCGTCTGCCTTCGGCTCAGGTCATGATCTCAGGGTCCTGGGATTGAGCCCCACACTGGGCTCCCTGCTCTGCAGGAAACCTGCTTCTCCCTCTCCCACTCCCCCTGCTTGTGTTCCCTCTCTCGCTATGTCTTTCTCTGTCAAATAAATAAAATCTTTAAAAAAAATTTATTTGATAATTACTATCTCCATTCATAACACTGACTTCGTTTCTTTTAAGAAATGTACATCTGCTGATCCATATTTATTGCTTCTTAGGGAGTGGGTGGATCCATAAATGAGATTCTGTTCTTTGAATGCCTTTTGCTGGTGTTATTTATTACTAATGCTTGGAGGAAGGATCCTAAATTATCTCTCAAAATGCTTAGAGCTTGGTTATTTCTTGGTTTGGAAAAGTGTTTTTATTTTTTGGTATATTCTGGAATATAACAAAGATAGTTACTCATTTAGAACATGAGTTGATAGTTACTTATTTCGTCCACACAGAGAATATTACATTGTCTGTATCTTCTTAAAAGAATCTCAGCGCCTGGGTAGCTTAGTCCGTTAAGTGTCTGCCTTTGGCTCAGGTCATGATCCTGGGGTCCTGGGATTGAGCCCCGCATCAGGCTCCTTGCTCAGCCAGGAGCTTGCTTCTCTCTCTCCCTCTGCCACTCCCCTGCTTGTGCTGTCTCACGAGTGTGCACTCTCCCAAATAAATAAATAAAATCTTTAAAAAAAGAATCTCTGCTCCTGGAAATTCACCTTTTTTTTTTTTTTTTAAGATTTTATTTATTTGAGAGAGAGAGAGAGCCCAAGAGGGGGTAGGGTCAGAGGGAGAAGCAGACTCCCTGCTCAGCAGGGAGCCCGATGTGGGACTCGATCCCGGGATTCCGGGATCATGACCTGAGCCGAAGGCAGTCGCTTAACCAACTGAGCCACCCAGGCGCCCCACCCTTTTTTTAAACTTGACTTTCTAGATGTCCTTCAACATCTGTTTATAATATTAAGAGTTCCTAAGGAGAGATTGTTTAAAAAAGAGTAATTGTGACTTTTCTTAGAGCCACATTCTTTAGGGGGCATAAATGAATGGTGACAAAGCTCTTTCTTACAAAATTGTATGTTTGTTCTTGCAGCTCGGGTTGCCCTTCCCCTGCTTATGTCGTGTGCCATGTAACACTATGTTTGGATCCCAGCATCAGATGGTGAGTTGTCTTTTTGGTTTGTAAAATAATATGGAATTGTGTTTTGAAACCATATCTTCCTTTCAACTGAATTCTGTTTGCTGGCCTCCAGATAATTATTAGCTTGCTCATTTATCGCTTATATCTTCTTGTTGTATAATATGTGCTTACGGGTTTGAATGTCCATGAAGGTTGGCTGGCATATAGGTCAGAAACAACTGCCTCTTAAGGAATCTTGTCATTACTATATCACCTGCTTTAAGTAGAAACATGGGAGTCTAGTTAAGCACCAGAAATTTCTTCTAAAGCTCATCCTTTGAAAGGTTATCGTTATCTGGATTTGTGAATGGCAGATTTTTAAAAATGTGAGATTGGAAGGTGCCTGGGTGGCTCAGTTGGTTAAGCGACTGCCTTCGGCTCAGGTCATGATCCTGGAGTCCCAGGATCGAGTCCCGCATCGGGCTCCCTGCTCAGCAGGGAGTCTGCTTCTCCCTCTGACCCTCTTCCCTCTCGGGCTCTCTCTCTCTCTATCTCATTCTCTCTCTCAAATAAATAAATAAAATCTTTAAAAAAAAAATGTGGGATTGGAATTGGATTCTGCTTTTTTTTTCTTAAATTTAAAAATTTTTTTAATTTAAATTAAATTAACATAGTGTATTATTAGTTTCAGTGGTAGAGTTCAGTGATTCCTCAGTCTTATATAGCATCCAGGGCTCATTACATCATGTGCCCTCCTTAATGCCCGTCACCCAGTTACCCTATTCCCCACCCACCTCCCCTCCAGCAATCTTCAGTTTGTTTCCTATGATTAAGAGTCTCTTATGGTTTGTCTCCCTCTCTGATTTCATCTTGTTTTATTTTTCCCTCCCTCCCCCTATTCTGCTTATTTTTAGACATTCAAGTGTTAAGCCTTCCCATACTGAAGCCAGAAACAAAAGGGATAGGTTTTAGGGTTCCGTGCTTTTTCCAAGGTAGTTTGATCTTCTGGTTTGGATACATCAATGAGTAATACTAGAAATAAATTTTTGGCTATTTTGGGGGGGGGATTGAGAGAATATTTTCTTTAAACGTAAGTATTTAAAACTAGAGAAATATTTGTCCTGTATATATGCAGTTTTTAACTTTGATCTCATTTAACTGATTTTTGTAGTTAGTCTTCAAGGGAAACTATTTGATTTTTATCTCTGTGATTAGAGAAAATAGAAAAATGGTCAAGAATAAGAACTGAGGACGCCTAGGTGGCTCAGTTGGTTAAGTGACTGCCTTCAGCTCAGGTCATGATCCTGGAGTCCCGGGATTGAGTCCCGCATCGGGCTCCCTGCTCAGCGGGGAGTCTGCTTCTCCCTCTGACCCTCTTCCCTCTCATGCTCTCTATCTCTCATTCTCTCTCTCTCAAATAAATAAATAAAATCTCTATAAAAAAAAGGAATAAGAATTGAGGGGCACCTGGATGGCTCAGTTGGTTAAGCATCCAACTTTTGATTGTAGCTCAGGTCTTGATCTCAGGGTCATGAGTTCAAGCCCCGTGTTGGGCTCCACACTGGGTGTGGAGCCTACTTAAAAAAAAAAAAAAAAAAAAAAAGACTTACTGATTTGCATGATTGATTTTGAGAGTCATCTGCTTCTTTTGTAAGTTCTAATTTTTTATTGTATAGCTTTTATGCTCGTTGCTTCATGTTTTTGTGGTTTGCCTTTTCACCTAGGATGTTGCCTTCCTGGAGAAACTGATTAAAGATGATATAGAACGCGGAAAACTGCCCCTTTTGCTTGTAGCAAATGCTGGTAGGTATTATGAACTGAATCTCCCATTTTAGACATATGAGAGAAAGACTAGGTACTTAGCCTAAAAAAAAGTCTAAAGAAATGTTTGTGCACCACACGTTTAAGGTAGTTTGTGTCAGCATCGTGTGAGAATTGTAATACTACACTTGGCTCCTTAGACTCCCTTTAATTGTTGGTTTGGGGAGTTACTTTGTTGATGTGTGTCCTTTCTCATTTAGGTTGTAAGTACTTCTCTCTCGTGTGCCTTTTTTCTAAATTGAATTTTAAAATGTCATACCTAAATGTGCACCTTGAGCATGGCAGTTCAACAACTACTTTCTGCTGTGCTTCCCTCATTGTATTCAGCATTGTACTTGAAGCTCTAGACAGTGCATAAGGCAAGGAAAATAATGACATGACACACATACTAGAAAGAATTAACTGTCTTTACTTGCAGATGGCCTTATTATCTAGTTAGAAGGTCCTAAGGAAACTACAGAAAAGCCATTAGAACAATAAGCAAATTGATCAAGGGTTGCAGGATTTCTGTATACCAGCAATGAACCATTGAAATTGAATTAAAAATGCCATTCAAAAAAATGAAAACTTTATGGATAAATTTAACAAAATATATGCAAGATTTGTACACTGAAAACTACAAATATTGCTGAGAGAAATTCAAGAAAACCCAAATGAATGGAATGATACAGGATATGCACCTGTGGAAAGACTCAATATTATGAAGTCTGATTTCCCCAAATTAATCTGTAGATTGTACAGATCAGCCCCTATCAAAATTTCAGCAGGCTACAATTTCTTACAGAAGCTGATAAGCTGATTCTAAAATTTATATGGAAATACAGAGGATGTGAGAGATAGCCAAAATAATTTTGACAAAGAACAAAATTCAAAGGCTATCTGGCTTTTAGACTTAATATAAAGCTGCAGATAATCAGGACACTGTGGGATTAATTGAAGACGGTAGAGTTTAGAAATAGACTCACATGTATAGGGTCACTTGTTACAAAGATGCCAAGGTATTTCAAGGAAAGAAAGGTGGGTCTTTTCCACCAGTGGTCTTTGAACTAGCGGATATCCACATGGGAAAAAAAAAATTGAACCTTAACCCTTACCTCACTCTATATACAAAAGTCTGTTATGAATGATTTATTGACCTAAACCCGGCAAAGGAACCACTTGCATTGGTTGTGTTTGTTGGCAGTTGGTGAGGATATGCAACCTTATTAGGTGGGATTCTGTTAACTGGAAGTTTAGGATGGTCGGGAGAATGCACGAGTTCCGTTTTACTTATGCTCTGTGAAGAGGGAGCTGCCTACCCAACCTGTAGCATAAACAGATTCATCAAGGGGACAGGTTAAAGCATTCAGTATATTTAAACTGACTTTAGCATATTAAAACAAAGAACCTCTTGTATTGGGTTAAAAAAAAAACCTGCAAATTTATCTGTGTACACTTAGAATAAACATACCTAAATAACCCAGAAAATGACAAAAAGCAAGTGTGGAAAAGGGTATCTTGGGCACATAGCGACAGAACTAAAGTACTGTAGCCTTGTTAGTGTGAGATAAGTAGACTCCACACTAATTATATAAATTCATGTAATCCACTAAGACATAGTAGTTAAGAATGCTAATGAACGTAACTGAAAAATATAAAGGAAAACCTGAGGAAAAATTGATAAAATACAAGTATAAGTTGACAAACCCACCATCTTAGTGAGAGACTTGAATATATTTCTCCTGAAGGAATATCAAGTATATAGAAAAAGGCATATAGAGGTTTTAAGTAATAGTATTAACAAGCTTGCTTCTATACATACATACATAAAATGGAGAATATGCACACTTCAGAATTTGAATAACCAACTTGTAAAAGTTGATTTTAAGCTGGTTCACATAGAAAATCTCAGTAAAACAGAATGTTACTTCCTTCTTAGAGATAACGTATTTAAAAGCTTTTATCATGCTGTAAAGACTCAGAAAGTATTTGTTGCTTTCAGTATCCTTTTTTGTGTGTTTTATCCTAGGAACTGCGGCAGTAGGGCACACAGATAAGATTGGACGTTTGAAAGAACTCTGTGAGCAGTATGGCATATGGCTTCATGTGGAGGGGTGAGTGGAGGGTGAGGTTGGCTCCGTGGTGGGCCTGTATGCAGTGCTCATCAAGAGTGGGCATCCAGGCTCTTACTTTTTGTAACATTTATCTCTAAAGGCTCACTGGGTTCCATAGTAAAGGTAACAAAATAGCCCAAAGTGGCGGTGAGCGAGAAGAGATTTTACTGGCTCATGTAACTAAAAAGATGGTGTTGGGATTATTTTAGGCACAGCATCAGCCAGGGCTCAGCATCTTCCTCTCTCCACCCTCTCCCCCAGTCACTTGGCCTAATTTCCTCTTTGGTGCCTCCATTTATAGATAGACTTTCCTATTTTGGTGCAGAGTAGTTGCAGGGGCTCCAGCTTGCTTTCCAGGTTTGTGTCCTGAGGGTCACAAGTCCCAGCAAAAGTCTCCTACTGAGCCCATCACCATGGCCAGGGAAATGTAACACTTCCATAGTTTCAGTGATTTGCCCACCTCTGGAGCAGGTGTCTCCTCCACCCAAAGCTGTGGTCTCCTGGGGGAAATTGGGGTGGTTTCCCAGAAGGCCTTAGGGGAGGATACGGGGCAGCCGCTCCACAAATCCATCCCCAGCATGCCATAGGAGCTGGGTTATTTTGTCCCTCTGGGAAAGAGTTGATGACTAGAAAATCTTTTATATGAAAGATATAAAACAAGACACCCATTACATCACATCAGTAGGTGATATCCCGTGAAACACATTTGATTAAAGCGCATTTTCAAGGTTTTGCTGAAATTGGTATATGCCACATTTTCTGTTAATATAAACACTTATAACCCGGCTGAAAGACATTTAAAATGTCAGCTTGAAACAACACAGCTTTTTTTTTTTTTTTTTTTAAGTATAAACTTAGTGAATAAGCAGCAATAAATAATTTGTGTTTTTTTTCCAGTGTGAATCTGGCAACCTTGGTTCTAGGTTATGTCTCCTCATCAGTTCTGGTATGTGATTGATTTACTAAATACTGTGTTTTTAAGAAGGAATTTAAAATCACTTAATCCCCAACGCGCCTGGGTGGCTCAGTTGGTTAAGCATCCAACTCTTGATTTTGGCTCTAGTCTTGATCTCAGGGTCGTGGGTTCAAGCCTCATGTTGGGCTCTGTGCTGGGCATGGAGCCTACTTAAAAAAAAACAAAAACAGAAACAATTCCTGATGGCTTTTCATGTTTTTATGAATGGAGGAGGGTGTTGGGTTTACTGTATTCTGATGGTCTCTAACAAAAAGTTGTTTTCTCTCTGGTAGGCTGCAACCAAATGTGACAGCATGACACTGACTCCGGGTCCATGGCTGGGTTTGCCGGCTGTCCCTGCAGTCACCCTTTATAAACACGACGATCCTGCCTTGGTAAGCTCACTCTCACTGGGAGGGACTGGGGAGTGGCTAATAATCATTAGTGAGTCTGGGAGCAAAATAGGGAAAAAGTGGAAAGTTTCCTTAATGCCAGTTCTGTGACTTTTTTATCAAAAAAATGTTTCTAATGTAAGTGAAACAATACTGTATACGTTTTTCTCTTTATTCTCCTCATAGGCCCCCATGTGTATGAGGAACTTTTTATGATATTTTATGACTGTGTAATATTCTGTTACTTAAATACGGCAATTTAATCATTCTCCATTTGTCAACTTTTAGGATGTTTTCAAATTTTTGTTACTAAAATAATGAGCATCTTTCTGTATTTCAAATTATTTCCTTAGACTATGTCCCCAGAAGTGACGTTACTATTAAAAGTAGTTAAAGCTCTTGATCCCCATTGTCTAGAAGGTTGTAACATACTTTTTCTAAGAAGTGGTTCTTAAGAGTAGATCAGTTAGTGATAGGCCTATGCAAAATAAGCTTTAAGTGATTCTTACTAAAACGGTTAATGTCTTGCTCAGTCAATAGTGGCCAGGTGTTTGAGGATACTCAGAACAGCCTTGGAAGGGGCTTCCTCTTGAGTGCCTGAGAGTTCTGGCCGTGGAGCACGACCCATCTGGATTCTCATCCTGGCTTTGCCACACCTGAGCCGTGAGCCCTTGAAAGCAAGTTCTCTGACCTAGGTTGTCTAGAATACTTCCCTCATGGGGCCGTTAGATGGTCAGATGAATAAGGCAAGCCAAGTGCCTGGCATAGCATCTGAACTGTACTAAGTGCAGAGGAAATGGTAACTAGATAATTCTGCTGTGTGTCTTCACTGGCTTTGATCGCTAAAACCATATTGGCTTTTTTTAGACTTTAGTTGCCGGTCTTACATCAAACAAGCCAGCAGACAAACTCCGTGCCCTGCCACTGTGGTTGTCTTTACAGTACTTGGGCCTCGATGGGATTGTGGAGAGGATTAAGCATGCCTGCCAACTGGTGAGTAGAAACCTCAAGTTTAAATGAGCCACCAGGGGCGCCTGGGTGGCTCAGTCGTTAAGCATCTGCCTTCGGCTCAGGTCATGATCCCAGGGTCCTGGGATCGAGCCCCGCATCGGGCTCCCTGCTCCGCGGGAAGCCTGCTTCTCCCTCTCCCACTCCCCCTGCTTGTGTTCCCTCTCTTGCTGTGTCTCTTTCTGTCAAATTAATAAAAATCTTTACAGAAATAAAAATAAAAAATAAATGAGCCACCGATACTCTGTGGCAAAAGCAGTGATGGAAAACTGCCTCAGTGCCTCATCCACCGTCCATGACCTTGTTGTCTGGATTTGGCTTCTCATAAGCAAGCAGATTGCATGCGTACATTTTCTGTGTGGAGTTCTGGGAGGGACTACTGGGGTCTCCCAGCAATTGTGGCCACATGAAATGAGATTAGATGAATGCCCATGTCAGCATAGGATGAGAAAAGAAGTCACAAGATGAGAGCCAAGGAGTGAAGGAAGCAAAAGGGGGTGGGAGGTAAATGTGGCCCCTGTCTCTTGAGGGGGAAGGAAATATGGCCACTGGGGGTTAATGGTGGATGGGCTGCGTGTTTTTAATACCAGCTGGCTTGGGCTCCCTAATGGCAAGGCTCTAGGGACAGTTCTATAATTCTCCTTCTATATGAGGCGTTCTTGTGAAAATGTGTCATTATGCTCTAGTTTAGAAAGCAAAGAAAGTCATGTTTATGCAGTTTGAGCTGAGTCTGAAAGCTTGCCGTCGCCTCTCTAAGTCTGTTGGCTTACGTGGTAGACGGGGGTGATGTAATAAGAGATTGTTAGGAGGCCTGAATGAGCGCATACGTGTAAGGCTCTCACAGTAGTGCTTGATCACATGCAGATGGATTTAAAAATAAATCTTTGTTTTAAATGTGTTCTGTGGAATCAGTACTTCCTCATGTGACATTTTTATGTTTAGGGGAAATTCGTATCTTTGTGTCACTGTAGCAGCTGTCTTTGGGTTTGTAATGTCAGGATCGTGCATCCTAACACTCCTTTCTCATGCAGCAGAAACACTGTAAATGAAGTAGTTTGATTTTTACATGAGATAATTTCAAGATTTGTGTTCATTAGGTTTACAAAAGCACATTTAAAAAAAAATTTTGTCACTGGACTGTCAGCTTACGTCTTGAGGTTTGGTTATTCAGAAGGGGAGGCCTTTATTTCCGTGGTAACTTAGTCACTTTGGGGAAGGTCTGGGCATCAGGGGAGGGCTCTGCAATTCCCTTTGGCTTACAGAGCACAGGAAGATAATGAGACATTAACTACCAAACCCTTGAGGTCACTGCAGCTCTGTCTACCTGCAAGCAAACGCTGTAGCTGGTCACAGGGCTGCTGACCATCTCTGATGGCCTGTCGCTGACTCCCCGCTGCTCCCAGCATGTGGGAACCTGCCGGGAAATGTAGCACGTGTGGTCACCTGTATGTTCATGCCTCCTAGCCCATCCGTGGGGGCAGAAATCTCTATCCTCCTCCTCGGCTTCCTCCCATCATCTTCGTTGTCATTGTCCTCCTCATCTGCCTGGGAAGCAGTTAGTATTTGCTCAGTGCAAAGCACTATGCCGCGCACTGTGCATGCACGGTTTCATTTGCACTTCCTAGGATATGAAGTCCACTGGTGACAGCATACTAAGAAGTAGTTTTCATGAGGGGTTTTCCAGTGTCTAACACTCAGTAAATAACTGTGAATGAATGAATCCCAACCCCATAACGTAGATGCTCTTTTATCCCCACATCAATAATGAGAGACCTCGGATTGAGATTACAATAGAACGATGAGGGGCGCCTGGGTGGCTCAGTCGTTAAGCGTCTGCCTTTGGCTTAGGTCATGATCCCAGGGTCCTGGGATCGACCCCACGTCGGGCTCCCGCTCGGCAAGAAGCCTGCTTCTCCCTCTCCCACTCCCCCTGCTTGTGTTCCCTCTCTCACTGTGTCTCTGTCAAATAAATCTTTAAAAAACAACAACAGTAGAATGATGAGGAGATAAGTCATCACACACACGTGATGCACACGGTGTTCTGGAGACTTTCCAGGCACCTGACACAACAACCCTGTCAGATAGCTACTCTCCTCATTTTATCATTGAGGGACCTGAAGCACAGAGAGGCTGAATAAGGTGTCCAAAGTCATAGCTAGTAAGTGGCAGATGGACTTACTCCTTGTCCCACAGGTGAGATTTTGAACTCAGATGTGCTTATTCCAGACCCACCCCATGCTCTGAACAGCTCCTCATTTATCTTTGCTCTTCCTTCCCCAGAATCAGGTTCTGTGTCTTGCGCATATTTGCACTCAGTAGTTCTGTGGGGTTTTTTTGAGCTTTAATTGGCATATAACATTATATCAGTTTCAGGTGTACAACACGATGAGTCAATATTTGTGTATATTGGGAAATAATCACCACAGTTACAAGACCAGTTAGCACATGTCACCATACATTATTACGGAATTATTTTCTCTTGTGATGAGGACTTTTAAGATTTACTCTTAGCAATTTTCAGATATGCAGTATAGTGTTATGAACTGTAGTCACCATGCTGAACATGACATCCCTGTGACTGACTTACTTTACAACTGGAGATTTGTATCTTTAAGCCACCTTTACCCATTTTTCCCACCTCCCACCCCCTGCCTCTGGCAGCCACCAGTCTGTCTGGGAGTTATGAGCTTGTGGGGTTTTTTGTTTTGTTTTAGATTCCATATATAAGTGATATCATACACTATTTGTCTTTCTCTTTCTGATTTATTTCACTTAGCAAGCATAATGTCCTGAAGGTCCATTCATGTTGTCACAAATGGCAAGATTTCATTCTTTTTTATGGTGAATAATACTTCCTTGTGTATGCATATTACATACCACATTTTATTTATTCATCCATCCATTGATGGACACTCAAGTTGTTTCTCTATCTTGGCTATTGTAAATAATGCTGCAGTGAACATGGGGGAGGGGGTGCAGATATCTTTTCAAATTGGTGTTTTTGCTTTGTTTGGATAAATACCCAGATGTGGAATTGCTGAATCATAAGGTGGTTCTATTTTTAAATTTTTGAGGAACCTCCATACTCTTTTCCATAGGGGCTATGCCAGTTTGCTTTCCTACCAATAGTGCTCTGGGGTTCCCTTTTCTCCACATTCTTGCCCACATTTGTTACTTCTTTTCTCTTTGATACTAGCCATTCTGACAGGTGTGAGGTGATATCTCATTGTGGTTTTGATTTGCATTTCCCTGATGATAAGTGATACTGAGCATCTCTTCATGTGTCTCTTCATCTGGATATCTTCTTTGGGAAAAAAATCTCTATTCAGATCTTCTTCCCATTGTTTAATCAGATTTTAGTTTTTTGCTCTTGAGTTGTAGGAGTTGTATATATTTCGGACATTAACTCCTTGTCAGGTAAATTATTTGCAAATATCTCCTCCCATTCAGTAGGCTGACTTTTCATATTGATGGTGGTTTCCTTTGCTGTGCGGAAGCTTTTTAGTTTGGTATAGTAGTTGGTTTTTGCATTTGTGGCCATGTACTGAGTAGGTTTTGAAAGAATGAATGACTTATGTTGCTAATATGACAAATTCACATATGTCTTATTAGAAAAAGCTTTTCTGGAAGCACTGCATGTAACTTGCAACTGAAAGATCGGGGAATGTTTGCAGTTGTTGAAAAGCAAGAATTGGCAGCCTACCTGAGGAGTCACCAGGTGACAGACGGCTTTATCTGCCTGAGATCCTTGTTTGCAGGCCTGCAAAAATCCTCCTGAAAACCATTTCTTAATATGTTATGTTGACCTAGTGAAATTATGATAAGTAATTATTAAATACATATAATTTAATGAAATTACGGTAATCACAAGCTGTTGTTTCTCTTTTGCAGAGTCAACGGTTACAAGAAAGTTTGAAGAAAGTGAACCACATCAAAATCTTGGTACAGTATATAATTTGATCTGTTTTTGAAGTAAATAGCTTAAGTTCAAGTTAGAATGATCTCCAGATTTGATGCATTTCAGTGTAATTGTGACAATTCTAGTAAAACCACATTCTTTGGATGAGAATCATGCACATCCTGATGACCTACCTCTACAGAAAGCACAAACCCCAGAAATTTGTACCATTTGCTGAACCCCTTTGGTGCTTTTCATATAATCATTTGTAATTTTATTCTGTTAAAATTTAGAAATGCACAAACACTGTTGACCACCTGACCAGTGATTTTAAAACACCCATCTTCCTGATATGAAAAGTCATTTTGTCTCTCACAGTGTTTTGGATGACTTTTTCTGAAACCTGACACTAGAATTTTCATTTGCACAGAGTGGGGAGTAAGGAAAAGATAAGCACGTGATCTTGCTCTTGTCTTCCCCTGGTATCTCCCTAAAAGATGCCAGACTCTTATCAGAGAGTGCTGTCTTGGGGTAATTACTGGACAAGGAGATGAGGATTTAGCAGGGCTAATAACCAAGTATCAGTTCAGGCTTGAATGTTTTCATGTTTTGCTTCATTGTATTTTAGAATTTCAGAAAATATAGGTCAGATTCTAATTTAAACAGGGTCACTGGGTGCTGCATTACACAATTAAGTGCAAAACTAATACGTGAGTTAATTTGGGGTTCAAGTTAATAGCGTTGATTTCCGTTTTAGTACACAGTTTGCTTTAAGTGCCTGAGAGGGGGGCTGCTCGTCATTGCCTTCAGAGTAGGAGTTTGGAGCCTATTCAGTTGACCTGAGATGACCCAAGTTCTAGTTTGGAAGAGGAGAGTGGCCCATTGGAGAAGCAGAGGGATGCATGTAAGTCAGGAGACTTGGGTTCTCATTTCAGCCATACCACCGAGGCCCTGTGACATTGAGTCATTCTCTCAACTGCCTAAGCCTGTGAGCTCAGTTGTCAGTGAAGGTATGTTGGTTGGACTCCTTTAGTAAACAGAGAAGCCCAGACTATGGACTAGCATGAGCAAGATGGCAGGAATCAAGGCAGTGCTGGGCCAGTGGACTTTCTGTCCCTCCCTCACTGAGCCCACTTGGGCTCTCGTGTCCTCTCTCCCTCCTCCTCCTCCAAGCTGGGAGATTCTGCTGGTGCTGGTTAATCACCAGTGGGTTTGGGGCATCTGTGTAAAGCCAGGGAACCCTGCTCCATCCCTCCCTCCAGTGGATGCTTTTCTCAGGAAAGGTACAACCACCGGCCAACCCCTTGCAGCACTGAGGCTTCGGTAACAGCCTTCATCACAGCTGCTGGGTGTGAGATGCGTGCTGCGTGCCGTGCACAGCGCTGAGCACGGGGGTTCTCTCATTTACCCCTCACCGTAGTCCCCTGCATGTCTGCTCTTCCTTCTCGCTGGAAGCGCTGTTCCTTTCCATTCTTTTCAAGACTCATTTCTTACCCTTCAGATCTTAGTTCAAATATCATGTCTTCAGGGGCGCCTGGATGGCTCAGTCAGTTGAGCATCCGACTTTTGATTTCAGCTCAGGTCATGATCTCAGGGTCCTGGGATCAAGCCCTGCATTGGGCTCCCTGCTCAGCAGGGAGTCTGCTTGAGGATTCTCTCTCTTCCTCTCCCGCTGCCCCTCCCCTGCTCACTCACACTCTCTCTCTCAAATAAATAAATCTTAAAAACAACCAAAAAACCCACCAAATATCATGTCTTCAGAGAGGCCTTGCCTGGCTGTCCTATGTGAGCCAGCCCTGCCACTGTCCATCACTCTGTCCCCTGGGTGTGTCCTTCATTGCAGTTCTTAGTACCTGAGACTGTGTGTTCCTTGTCTTTCTTTGTAGAAGCTTTGTATAGGCGGGGACTTTTGTCTTTTGGTTTTTTCATAGTGTGCCAAGTTTAGTATTTGGCCCAGAGTAGGTATTTAAGTGTGAATGAATAAATCTAATCTGTGAGTGGGTCACAGTGGCTGTCTCCTCCTTGCTGGTGAGGAAGCAGTACCAGAGCAGTTCAGTGACTTGCTCGGACCACACGGCTAGGACGCTGTGGAGCTGGGATTCACACCGCAAGGCCTGTGTTCTGAACCAGTGGGCCATTCTGTCCCCGGTTGGTTTTCAGGAGAACTTAGTATTTGTCCTGCTTCAGGGACTTGTTACAAAGGGCAGATTAGATAATGTATGAAAAAGCAAGTGAAGATTTTAGGGCATCACAAAATCCTGGTCATTATTAAATGGCTTTTGTTCTTGCCACAGTTTTTGTGTGGTGTTCCCATAGATCCCCAGTCATTGAGTCCTCACGGGATGTCACTGCAGTGGAGTGATGTTACTTCTGTCTCTCTTCACTGTGGTTACGTGTCCCGAGTCTCATCATAGTAGGTGGCAGGGCCGGGACTTGAAGCCAGGGTGTTGGAGACGAGCTGTGTCTGCAGCATAGACGCGCTTCCGGGCTCAGCAGCCCCGGGCCCCTTCCCACTGCTGGGAGGCCTGGGGCAGCTGCTGGGTCCGTGGGCCGGTGCCCGTCCTCCCAGCAGCCGAGTCGTGGGCTGTCTGCCTGCCTCTCCTGGGCACCTCCGGGGCGGAGGGGGGGGTTCTAATGTTTCACCCTTGCCCCTGAAAAAAAACCGCAGAATGCCCCCGGGCTCCGCTTACATGTCTGCTGGCCTTAAGATCGTCTCCGTCCTTAGGGTCCTGCTCCTTCGACCGTGGTCGAAAATCCTCGGATTTTCTAAAACTCCTGCTTGGACTTGGGCTTATTAAACTTGAGGGTTCTTTTTTTTCTTCCCCCTGATCAATTGTGTCAAGTTTGTTTTTGCAGATATGACCTCTTTCTCCGGTCTCACCTCTGGACCTTGAGTTGGCAGCATAGTGAACCTTGCCGCTCCGTGTGCCATGCACCCCTCTGACTCGTCCCAGCGCTGCCTCTGCTGCTGCTGCCTCGTGAGCTGCTCCAGGCCTTTCTTTGCTCCTGAGCTGCCTGGCATCTGCATCAGCCATTCGCTGGGTTTTTACTTTCGGTGACAACTTCTGCCTTCTGGCATGTTCTTTCTAGTTCTTATTCAAGTCGGTGCCTCCTTTTCGGTCTTTTTTTTTTTTTTTTTTAATTGTTTCTGGTCTTCATTTTTCTATTTGAGCATGGTTGTTATCGTCTATTTCTGAATTTCTGATTGTTGCTTTAGTATTTCCGTTCTTGGATCACCCCTGGACCATGTCTGCTGACTCCTGCCTGTGTGGATGTGTCATAACCTGTCACTGAGGGCTAGATGTTTTTGCCTGTGTGACTGGCCCAGGTCCGTCTCTGTCAGTTCCACAGCTTTAGGACTCCTGCGCCACATGGGACATCAAGCCCGCTGTGGTGCACACCTACCTGATGCTTTGCTCTCTCATGAGAGAATTTTTTTCTCCCTCTGTAGACAGAGCCTCATGTGGCAGTAAGCCCTCTTGCTGGTCAGCGGGTGGTTTTTCTCTCCCTCTTTTCACCTGGAGCATCCTTCAAGGGTCCCGGATTTATGTGCCCTTTACTGCCATCCGCACATGGGCCTAAAGACTCTAGATGTTAAAGCCAGGTTCCCATACCTGCTCCCCTCCCTCCAGCCCCTGCTCAGCCAACAATATTCTTTGCTTTCTCTTCTTTCTAGATATACTGTTTTTGTGAGCCTAGCCGTGGTTTAAAAGTTTTTTTGGTTATCAGGATATTTAATCCAGCATTTCAGTCTGCCATGTGCTAGAAGCAGAATTCTGTGTACATAACCCTGGACAGTATTTCTCATGCACTGACATTTGAGACCACCAAGCTCAAAGAAATAGGAAACCAAAGACTGTATTAAACTATATATAGAAGTCTCGGCACTCAGATCATCCTGCCTTATCCTAAGTGAGGATGGGGGAATGGCTGTAGAATTTTGTTGCTTTTGTTTCTGTTTCCTTCTTGGGTTTACTCCATTCTATTTAGGTATTAAGCCCCTCCAGCTTTACAAGTATTAATAGATTTATTTGTTTATGTGAAAGTCAAAGGAGATGATAGGTGAGCACAGGAACCAGCTCAATAAGTTGGTAGATTGGATACACATCTTGCTTGCTCTGAATCACATCCAAAGGCAGATGCTTAACGATTGAGCCACCCAGGTGCCCCTGCACATTAGCATTTCTGTCATGGAGACCTCATCTGCAGAGCCTTGGAAGATAGGTTTGAGGGTTTTGTTGTTGTTGTTTTTAAAGATTTTATTTATTTGAGAGAACACGAGCAGGGGGAAGGGCTGAGGGAGAGGGAGAAACAGATTCCCCTCTGAGCAGGGAGCCCAACGCGGGGCTCGATCCCAGGACCCTGGGATCATGACCCGAGCTGAAGGCAGACGCCTAACCAACTGAGCCACTCAGGCGCCCTGGAAAATAGGTTTTATGACTAGAATTGTTGAATGCTCAGAGATCTTCTGTCCCTGTGTGTCATATTCTGTCAAGGGCATTGCTGTTCCCTTTGTATCCTGACCCTGTGGTGGAGCTGAGGGCCAGCTGTGTGTTTGTTCAATGGTGAGCATGAACTTCATGCTGGCTTATCTTAATGCAGTGAATGTTTTTGTCTGTAATGAAATCCATTAATGAAGTTAGTCATCTGACCCCTGTTCCCGAATATAAGGACCGTTTCAGTGATTGAGAAAATATGAGGCTTCAGAAGCTCTAGACTGTGTTTATCTTCTTGCCAGCAGGACTTACATCCTGTTCTGAGAGATTTACAAAGTGAGAAGAATACTATGTCTGTGAATATAATATATGTTGCAGTCAGGGGCACCCAGCTGGGTGGCTCGGTCGGTTAGGTGTCCAACTCTTGGTTTTGGCTCAGGTCATGATCTCAAGAGTCGTGAGATTGAGCCCCGTGTCGGGCGCCACACTGGGCATGGAGTGTATTCTTCCCACCTCCCTGACACCCCCCCCCCCCCAGCTTTCTCTCTAAAATCTAAAAAAAATTTGCAGTCAGTCCTGCTTGAGTTAGCATAATTTCTAGATTCTTGAAAGCTTAGCTCTCCCAACACTGATTCTGGTTATACTTTTTCCTTGCCTCCTTTGATCTTTGATGGCAGGCTTATGTTTATTATTATAGTTACCTCCTGCTTTAATTTCAGCATGCCAGTGTCAGATGTTATAATTCAGGGGCAGTGTATTTTTAGAACCGGCTTAGAGTTATTTCTAGGAATTTTACTAAACCCTTGATTGTTGTTTCTGTAGCAACTGAAATGAATTTTATGTGTTAAGAAAATACGCTTATCTCTAGCCTGTTTTTCCAAACTCCGTTTTATTTTGCAGGTGTTGGGGTTTAGTGTTACTTGGTAATATCAGATTGATTTTTCAGGTGGAAGATGAGCTCAGCTCTCCAGTAGTGGTGTTCAGGTTTTTCCAGGAATTACCGGGTTCAGGTAAGGGATTCTAAAAAGAGTTATTTTTGTACTTCTGTTTAAGGGCTTTGAATTTTAAACCATTTCAACAGATAGAGTCTAAAATATCTTGCCTGCTAAAATCTTCAGTCATTGTTTCAGAAAATGTTAACAATTTTCAGGGCACCTGATTTTGGCGCAGGTCATGATCTCCCCCCGGGGTGTAGAGCCTGCTTAAAATTCTCTCCCTCTCCTTCGGTCCCTCCCTCCCTCCACTCTTGTGCATGTTTGCTGTCTATCCAAAAATAGTAATAATAATTTTCACAAAAACTCCCGGCCTAAATGCCTTAGCATTTTACTGGTAGTTTCCTGTGATCGAACCAGTGGTTTCCAAATGCCAGTCCCTGGACTCGTGTTAGAATGAGTGGGTAAGAGTCCCTTGAAAAGAGAGGTCTGGATGCATATGTATATACAACCTAGTGAATCAGTATCTGAGGTAGGGCCCCTAAATCTCTCTTTTATTTTTTTTTGTTCTTATCACAGTTTATTTTTTTAAGTAGTTTAAAATACTATGTAAACACACAGTAGAGACATTGGCAGTTGAGATTGGGAATGACCTGAGGCTATTTTTAAAGGATGCCCCAAGCGCCCCCACCCTAGTCCAGGTTTTTCTCACCTGGACACAGCCACGGTCCCCACCAAACTGACCTCTCACCTCCGTGTACTGTACACGCCCCATTCGGGACCATTCTCTGCATGCAGAGCGGGTGGTGGTACATGTGGGAGTCCCGTTGTGGCCTGTCGCTGCCCAGACCCTTCAGTATCTTACTATTTCTGTTGAATTAAGTCCAAGCTCTGTACCTTGTGAGGCCTGTGGGGTCTAGCCTTTGCCATTTTCTCTGACTTCCTTTTAGGCCACCTCTTCTCTTGATCATTGTGCTTTAGTCAGACTGGTCTTCTCTGAGTTTCTAGAACATTCTGCACTGTCCTAGAGCAAGACGTTTGCACTTGCTGTTCCCTTTGCCTCAAGCACATTGCCTTCACTCTTCTTCTGGCTGGCTCCCTGTCACCATTCAGGTCTCCGTAATGTCCAGCCTCCTCAGAGAGGCCTTTCCTGTCTGTCCTGTCTAAAGCGACTGTATCAGAGTCCCTACCTTTTTTCATGGCTCTAGCTAGCAACAGTATATGGTGATTTCATTTCTTTCTTTACAGTGTTTCTTCAATAGAATACAAACAGCAGGATGCCAGAAACCTTGTCTGCCTTATATCCCACGTGCCCAGCACAGCACCTGGCACAAGCAGGCACCCAGACCATTTGAATGAAAGGAGGATAATTCTGTTGTGAGGCCCACTCTGGGTGCTCTTGGGTTCCCTGATTTACCTCGCACAGTGGTTGATAGACTAGTTGGTAACTTAAAATGTTATACTTTCATTTCCTCTCAAAGTTCTTGAAAGAAAGACTTTTTGTTTTTTTTTTTAAAGGTTTTATTTATTTGTCAGAGAGAGAGAGTACAAGCAGGGGGAGCAGCAGGCAGAGGGAGAAGCAGCTTCCCACTGAGGAGGGAGCCTGATGCAGGGCTCGATCCCAGGACCCCGAAAAAAAGACTTCTTAAATGAAATTAAGAATTCTATTTGTGAGACTATATTCAAGCATTATATTTTTCATGAGGAAAAAAGTTGTGGAAGCTTAAGATACACATTTTCAAGAAATTTTAGTTGTAAAAAAAAAAAGTTTACCATCTTGTGTGTATAGTTCAGTAGGGTTAAATATATCCACATTATTGTCCAGCAGCTCTCCAGAACATTTACATCTTGCAAAACTGAAACTCCATACTCATTACACACTAACTCCCCATTTCCGTCCTCCCTCCCAGCCCCTGGCAACCACCATCTACCTACTGTCTCTTGAGTTCGACTCCTGTGGGTACCTCATACCCATGGAGTCATGCGGCATGAGTCTTTGTAACTGGCTTATTTCACTTAGTGTAATGTCCTCAGGGTTCATCCATATTGAGCTTGTGAGAGAATTTCCTTGCTTTTTTAAAGATGAGTAACACTACGTTGTATGTATACACCATGTTTTGTTTACCCACTTATTGTGAGGTAGACATTTTAATTTCTGTAATATTTGAGACTTCTCTCTTGGGTTCTGTTGGGAGCTCAGTGAAATAAGGTTTGAGGGCTGTGTATGGAGCTGTGTTTCTAGAAGGTGAATCCCCTTTCTGTGTTCTGGTGTCAGATCCAGTGCTTAAAGGCATCCCTGTGCCCAACATGGCACCTTCGGCAGTCAGCCGGGAAAGACACTCGTGTGATGCCCTGAATCGCTGGGTAAGAATGGCGGTCGTGTGCTCGCTCTTCTCCACCCCAGACGGGGTAACACGTGCTCACGTCTGAACACATGCTCACGTCTGGGACATCAGCCCCCAGGAGGGACGCTCCTGTGGAGGTACTGGGCTTCCCTCTAGGGCCCTTGCTCGGCTCACCGCTCCCCGTGCTGCGTGACATCAGGCAGGGCCTTCCAGCACGACCCCCCCCCCCGAGGAGACCATTTCCTGGCTGCTGAGGCCGGCCGTCAGACCGCACGCGGACGCGGGCTGTGGGGCAACTGCTTGGGAGTTGCGGTGAGCGGCTGTGGTGGTGTCAGAGGGCGCATGAGCCAGAGCCCCCGAGCGCCTGGCCGTCGGACAGCAGGGACCGAGGGCGCAGGGCTCCGGCTGCCTTTCGGCGCTGAAATCGCGCCTCCAAGACTGTTGTGTAAAGAACGCTGTAAACAGTGTCAGTCAGCCCTGGTGTAGCGTGCGGTCATGCCCCCAGCGGCTTTGGTGAGTCAGTTAGGATGCATTCATGCAGCAACATCCAAAACAGCCAGAATCAACCATGTAGCCGGACGTTTATGGCAGGAAGGAGGTGGCCATCAATAACTTACGTGAAAAGCTGCAGGTTACCGCCCAGCACGTACAGTGGTGTGTTTTATGGCGATAGAAAACACGCAGAGACCCAGGATGGGTCTGTCAGATGTCAGCAGTGGGCGCTTCTCCGTGGTGTGTTGTGGGTAATTTTTATTTTATTCTTTCGATTTACCTGTATTTCCTAGATTTTTCTACACTGCAGTTGTATTTTTTAGTAACAAAAAGTGTAAAACTTTTAGCCCATTTAAAAAGAAGTGGCCATAAGTATGCAGAGAATCAAAAGACTCCGGAGCCTCCGGGGCCTGGGACCGAGTGGGGGAGGGTAGGTGCGAAGACCGTTGAGGCCGTCCCCAGGGGGGCCTCCTCACTGTGCCCTTGTCCCTGCAGCTGGGAGAGCAGCTCAAACAGCTGGTGCCGGCGAGCGGCCTCACGGTCATGGATCTGGAAGTGGAGGGCGTGTGCATCCGGTTCAGCCCTTTGATGACAGCAGCAGGTAACCAGTCTCCATGGGTTGCCCTCCTTCGTTCTGGGAGCAACAGTGACATGTCCGTGAAAGTCCGGGCGGTGGTTCATTTGCTTTTCCTTGGGATACTCTGCCCTCTGTTTGAAGACGCTTTTTCTTTGCTTTTGGGCTACATTTAGGTAGATGAGCTTTCCAGGGTAACATCACTTGAGCCTCCCTGTGTTTTGGTGTCTTGTGACCCTTCGCTGTCTCCCGGGAGAGGCACCCATGGGGCTTGGGGCTCCCAGCAGCTGGGCCGCCTGCGGAGACTCTGGGCTGTGGGGAGCAGAGCCTGTGCCGCTGTATTCCCTGCTCAGGGCTCTCCGGCGGTTCGGACAGACCGTGAAGGTGGAGGGCCACGGTTTTAGACATTGGAGAAAGAGGGACGGCTGCAAGTACATGGGCTTTTACGACAGAACGTTCTGGGTGTGCATCCAGACCTGCTTCCCGCTCCCACGTCGTAGCGTGCAAGATCCTGTCTTGTGAAGTGCTTTAGGTTGCCCGCCTCCGTGTCATGGGACTGAACAACCCGCTAACAAAAGATACGTTAAAAACTGACGATGCTTTATTTCTGAGATGATTTAAAGGTTTTCAGAAAATCTTTTTTTTTAAATGAGATATTTTTAACATTTTGGGGAAGATACTTGCTCGAGGACCTCAAAGTAGGGGGATGTGGGGCATTTGTCCTGCAAAAAAAAGCCCGCCACAAAGACGACTGGCGGCTTCCCAATCTTCCAGTAGTTTCTGCACGTGGTATGCCGGGGGCTTGAGCCCCAGAGGCTTAGTCTCTAAACCTGGCAGAGTGAGCTGAGGACACCCGAGGCAGCACGTACGGAGGCTTAGTGCGATCCTTTCCCACATTTGAGTCGCACGCACAGGGTAGTGATGTTGGGTCCCTGCCGGCCCTGGGGGCTCTCAGGCTGTCCTCGGTGCTGTTGTCGTCAACCTGCCCTTCTGCCTCCCCCTCACACACCCGCCAGAATCCCGCTCTCCCCAGGATGTCATGTGCTTGCCTCATCCTTTCTGGCCTGCAGTACGATATCGATAACTGGAGCGGAGTCCTGTGAGAAGAATCGGATTTCCTGTTAGAGTTTCATCGTGTGTTACATCAGGGGTTAATTCTGTCCTCTGTGTGAGAGAGAAGCGTGTCTACATACACTGCAGGAGCTGCTGTATGAACTTAGAGCGCCAGGTTTTTCTATACGGGCTTAGTGGCCTTTTTTTTTTTTTCTTAAATGCTTTAGCTCCTGCTGACCAGACGGCCCTGGAGCTGCTGACCTCCCTGACAGTGGGAGGGGAGCCCTGCCCTCTGGCTTTCACCATGTTCCTTACACATTTCTCTAACACTCTGGGGACGCTTTCAGTTTTAGGCACTCGGGGAGAGGATGTGGATCAGCTTGTGGCCTGTATCCAGAGCAAGCTGCCCGTCCTCACCTGCACACTGCAGCTACGGGAGGAGTTCAAGCAGGAGGTGACAGCAGCGGCAGGTCTCCTGCACGTCGATGACCCGAACTGGCCTGGAATAGGGGTTGTCAGGTACGTGTTCTTGCTGTTCTGCCATGTAGAGACCGCGGGTGTGGACCGGCTTAGAAATTGGCGGTGAATTTGTGTGGTCACAGCGAACATGTCTAATGGAAGGAAAGTCAGCAAGATGTTTTGGGTGCTTAGCAAAGCCCGGCGCAGCGGCAGGTGTGGCCACCCTTGCCCTCAGTGAAGTAGCGGTCCCTGTACTTCCCGTGCCAGCTCGCAGGTGACCGCGGGGCGGGGACACGTGCAGGTGCACAGCTGACAGATGCTTACCCCCACGGGGTACAGAGAGTCACTAAGGACCACTAAGACCGAGAACCCCCTCGCCGGCCAAGCACCCGCCTCTGGCCGTCGTTGGTTATCCCTGTGGCTGTTTTCCGTCTCCTTCCAGGACAAGGGGAGATTCCCTGCTTCTGCTACAAATGAGGCTTCCAGACCTGGCCTCTCTCTTAAGTTTCATGGATTGAAGACTTGGGCCTTCCTTGCCGTGTTCTTGACGCTGTCTGACCTTGAGATGCTTGAGTGGCTCCTTGGCCCGTGTGTCTCACATTCTTGGAAATCACCAGTAGCTTAGAACCCCCTGCAGTCCTGCGTGCGAAGAGGCGTTTGATCTTTTAGATTGAAATACTGTTATTTTATGTTGTTTGTAGGTATGAACATGCTAATGATGATAAGAGCAGTTTGAAATTAGATCCAGAAGGGGAAAAAATCCATGCTGGACTCCTGAAAAAGTTAAATGAACTGGAATCTGACCTTACATTTAAAATGGGTAATTACTATTTTTATAAGTCAACTCTTAACTTGGGAAGGCCTTTTCTAACTGGTTAGGGGAGGGGGGGGGGCTGTGTCCCCTCAGAGGAAATGCTGGTTTAGTTCTTTCTAGGGTGAGCTAGCTCCCTCCCTCTCCTGCAGCCTCTCCGGGCATCCCGTGTCCCTGTTAGCACTGGGGAGGGAGGCTCCTTTGTGTGCGGCCTTGTGACCGAACACTTGGGAACCAAGTCGGTCGGTTGTTTCTTCCCGCAGGCCCGGAATATAAAAGCATGAAGAGCTGTATTTACATTGGCATGGCGAGCGACGACGTGGATATTTCTGAACTAGTGGAGACCATTGCAGTCACAGCCCGAGAAATTGAGGAGAACTCACGGGTCTGTAAGACTGATCTGTGTCTCGTTCCTTTTCTGGGTTTTCTCCAGGCAGCTAGCTGAGGTCCCAAAGGAAGAAGCTCCCCTCAGAAACATCTGTTCATTCCCAAAAAGGGTGTGAATGCTTCCCATGAGCTAAACCTTGTGCCAGGAATCCAGAAGCCCACGAAGACTGGACACAGTCCCTGCCCTGGGTGGGCTCACCACTGGGGGGCCAAGATCCCCATAGCCGGGCGAGGCAGCAAATGCCGATGGGGAGAAGTTAGGGGTAGCAGAGCGTTCGGGAAGACGCAGCCACCTCTGCCTGAGAGGGTGAGGAGAGAGTTCCTGAGCATAGCTGGTCCTGGGGCTGCATGAGGCACGTGTTTCTCACAGCAGAACTTCCCGCCAGTAATAGACCTTCTTTTGGCTGGTTGGCGCGGAGACCAAGCTGTAAGCTTCATGGTCGTTCTGCAAACCAGGTAATTGAGTCAGTAGAAATCCCTCAGAGGCAGAGAGAAGGAACTAAAGCAAGAGGGGTCTGAGGAGACCAAGGCTGGTAGGAAGTTGGCTGTGAGCCTGAGGAGCCGGCTTTATTCATTCTCCGGTGGACATCCTAAAGGTTCTGCTAAACTCACTCTGTCGCTTCCAATTCCACTTCCATGAATGTTGAGCAGTGTGTCTGTTTTCTGTCGGTAAGACATTCAGATCACATTTTCTCGTCTCCTTTCCCTGGCAGATGAGGCTGGTCACCAAGGCGTGTCTTACCCTTATCCAGGCATTTTATCCTCTTCTGTTTAATTTCCTATTTTACTCTGTATCCTGGTATTTTAAAAAGTGCAGAATTCCATTTACTAATAATACTTTTGAAAAATGTTGCCCATGCTGTGGTAATAGTTCTAGGCCTCGGGCAAGAAGCTTAAACAACTGGGGCGCTTGGGTGGCTCAGTTGGTTGGGTGTCTGACTCTTGATTTTGGCTCAGATCATGATCTCAGGGTCCTGGGATCGAGCCCCACGTCAGGCTCTGTGCTCAGCACGAAGTCTGCTTGGATTCTCTCTCCCTCCCTCTTCTCCTCCCCACGCTTGCACACTCTCTCTAAAGTCAAATCTTAAAAAAACCTTGGACAAGTAATGTCTTTCTTGGTCCTAACACAGCTTCTGGAAAACATGACAGAGGTGGTTCGGAAAGGGATTCAGGAAGCTCAGGTTCAGCTGCAGAAGGCAAATGAGGAGCGACTTCTGGAAGAGGTGAGGCTGAGCACAGAGCTCCCAGCTGACGCCACACTGGGAGCCCCTGGCAGGATGGTCATAAGCAATGGTTCTGTTTTGCAGGGGGTGTTGCGACAGATCCCTGTCGTGGGGTCCGTCCTGAACTGGTTTTCTCCAGTACAGGCTTCACAGAAGGGGAGAACCTTTAACTTAACAGCAGGTAGGACTGACAAGTGTCATCCCAGGTCTCATTGATCTTGCGAGTTTTGACCTCAGTTCCTGTGATCCCACACACGAGTGGAGGAGCCCGGTGCCCACATGGCGCATGCTCAGCACTGGGTCTGCCCTGGGGACACTGCGATGTAGCATCATCTCTCTCCGGCCTCCACGGCTGCAGCCGCACAAGGGCAGACCCCTCTTCCTGGAAGCCCGTGGGAACGTGCCCCCTCGGCCGTTCGTGTCCTCCACGTGGTGTCTTTTGCTCAGTGCTCAGCGTTAATACTTGTTGCGGTCTTACTAGTGCTTGGCCTCAGCAAGAGGCTGCTTCTGAAAGGGGAGATGAGAAGCCTGTAGTCCGGAGCACCGGGCTAGCTTATTTCAGACCAGGCCCCCAGCAAGTATTAGTAGTTGCCGGGATTTGGGGAAGAAGATGTCCTGTTGGTCTCTTCCTTTTTTGTTCTACTCGGGGAACAGCTCCCTCAGCCTGGGCCCCCTCCCTAGGAAATGATGGCTTCGATCTCCTAGGACCGTAATCTGATTTTTGAACACGCCAGGCCTCAGCCTTCAGCAGAGAGGCATCTGTTCCTTGCTGCTGAAGCACCTTTCCCACTCGCACGTGGATTCCCAGGCATGCTCGGGCCACCCTGCTGGCCGAGGACTGTCCGAGGGACGCAGGGTCCCTGGGGAGGTTCAGGGTGGAATACCCCAGCAGGGCTGGGCCTCGTTGACAGCGCATTTCCGGAGGGCCAAAGGCTCTGCTGGTCTGAGCGAGGCTCAGTGGCCGCAAGAAGCTTCTAGGGGAACGAGGCTGCATGGGTCAGCTCCCAGGGCAGCCTGTACCAGGAGTTTCTGCACACACTTCTCTCTTTCATCGGCAGGCTCCTTGGAGTCCACGGAACACACCTACGTCTACAAGGTACAAGGCACGGGAGTCACACCACCTCAGACCCCCTCGGGCACCCGCACGAAGCAGAGACTTCCAGGTACAGGAGAACTGGTGGTTCCTCTTGGAACATAGACCTTTGCGTCCTGGGGGTTTTTCCTGTTCGGTGTTACCTGCATCCTTTTATTTTCTCTTCACTTAAAGACTCGTTTCCTTTTAACCATGTCCGTCGCCTTGAGCTTTAAACCGTGGAGAAATTTCTCCGCAGCACTTCACGGGGGTAGTTGGGGTCTTGAGAGCTAGCATCACGTTTAAGCTGTCCTTGCCTGAGCTTTTCCTGATGGGGACCTCGGAGGTTCCCGGCCTCAGGAGCCGTGTTGGAGTCCTGCCAGTTCTCATTTCTCACTTCCGGGGCATCAGAGCCTGGGATCGCAGGGGTTTCTCCAGAAGCACTTGGGATTAAATAAAGCAGTCGCTCATTGCACAGAGAGCTTTCAGCACTGTCCATGGCTCTTTCTCTAGGCCAGAAGCCTTTTAAGAGGTCCCTAAGAGGTTCTGATGCTCTGAGCGAGACAAGCTCGGTCAGCCACATTGAAGACTTAGAAAAGATGGAGCATCTGACCAGTGGGCCAGAGCAAGATGTCCTGGAGACCAGCAGCCCTGAGCCCCACCCTGGGGCTCCCACCCTGCAGGACACCGAGCAGACGGGGGCCCTCCAGAACGGGGCCCAGCGCCCAGAAGATGACCGTCCCCAGGTAGAAGAACTGGAGAGCTTAAGATAAAATTCACTGTTTTGCTTTGAGACTGTACTGAGTATTATTTCAGGGAAGATGAAGTTATAATGAAAATGTGAACCGTGCCACATGCTAATGCAAGAGAAATTACTGTTATTTGTGCTTAACTGGGATTTTTTGCACAAATACGTGCCTGAAAGCCAGGCTTTTTAGAAGGGCAATTGACTTGTCTAATTCCACGAGTATGCGGAGCTGTCAATACCATTTTCCCCCGTTACCATAAACACTTGGATTCACAAAGAACACTTAGAATTTCAAGTGCCTGCCACTTGAAACACTTGCTGTTACCATTCTAAACGTAAGTGTAAGACATTGTATGAGGTTACTTATGATGTTTTGTTGAGACAGCTTTCTTTAGAACTCTCTGGGTTCTCCGCTGTACTGCTGCTGGAGAGAGACGACAGGCTTTCCATGTTGGAGCTGGTGTTCTGTTTGGGCAGGCTGCAGCGGACAGCGGGTTTGGATTTGGCTTGAAGGAGAACGGGATTCAGTGGGACTGAACGAGAGCCCATGCCCGCCGTCCCCACTGCTGCTTCCCCGGGGGGCGTGGGGGGGGGGGAAGAAGCCCCCCTGCCGCAGATCCATTTCTCCCTTTATGTACTATTTGTAAACAAAGGACTATCTATGAAGAGTAACTGTAAAACTCTTGGCCATATATATGTATATTTTTAAATATTGGTAAAGCTTTTAAATTGGCACACAGGAATAGACTGTGCTCATTTCTATGTTTAATATCCGAAAACCTGATAGAGATGCTACTCTTAACCTAATATTAACTACGCTGTGTAGCACCCAGTTAAATTCTTAAGTATCCCTTTGACCCATTTGACATGGGAGCTTCTGTGGCTTCTCCCCACTAGCACCTCACCCCTTTGGGCCCAACTCAGAAACAAGAACCAGAAAAGTCATCTTGCTCAGGCTGGTCAAGCCAGACCACTGCAGAAATAACTGGAAGCAAGCCCTTAAATACTGCCCGTTTCTACTTTTCTGGAAGTACTGCGTCTCCTCATTTATCCTAGGTAATGGCCCCTGTGCCTTTAGTCCAGCCAAGTTAAGCTACGGGACACCTCAAGATAGTGGGGTTTCACACTGGGTTTGTGAGCTGTCGTGTTGGAAGCCTTAGTTACACCATATTAAGCCTATAATTAGACTCTGATTGGATGTGATCTCTGACATTTGGCACTTGTCAAAATGCAATTTTTTTTTTTTTTTTTGGTGCAGATGATTAAAGTCTTCCCTGTTTATTTGGTGCAATGAAGTATAGCAGATAACATGGGGAAAGGGGAAATTATCACCTTTAACAAGATTAATTTTTAAATGTTTTTATATATATTTGGAATTGTTAAATTGGTTTTGCTGAAACAGAATTTCACCCTTAAGACACTATTTGAATGTTGGTTTCAATAAAGGTTCTTGAAATTGTTACCAGTGAGTTCAGTTTCTACACAGTAATCAGGCACTGTGCCTGCCTTTAGGGTAGCAACTTCAGAAACCTAAAAGTCTCTAACAAGTGTAACTGGCATATATCACAATGTGGGCATTTTAATGATCTTACACTAAAAGAACAGACTTACCAGTGGCTCTGTGTAACACGTTAAATGTAGTCTCCTAGGAGATTAATTATATTGCACAGCAGACTGATCAGATTCTGAACTTTTCATCTCCATCTAGAAGTATAATACCAGCTTTAATTGATGATTCTAAAACATTTTGGGGCCAAAAAACCCCTCTGTGAGATGCATAGATTGTCACAGAATTTCGGTGCATTTTAAATACTGTTTATCTGTACTGTACTTACCGTTTTTCCTTTATTCCTTGACTAAACAATTAGAAATACCACGTATCCGAAACGGTGGCTTGTCCAATCGCGAGGCAGGCAGCCCCTACGGGGCTCGTATTACCAACAAGGAGAAGGCTGGAGATCAGCTTCAGCGAGCAGAAAGTAAACCTAAACAAATGCCTTTGCCAAAATAAGATTTTATTTTGAAAGTCATTTGAAGGACAGTAAGGAAGGAGCCCTAAGACTCAGCAGATGTAGATTCTAATGCGCATTCTTTGCAGCCCCCACGGTGGTCTTTGTCAGGCCAAGTTGCTTGCTTTCTTTGGTGATCCCGTGTTTAGCTTCCTGGAGAAGAGATCTTTTCCCATAAGCCACCTTCATTCTTTTTGTAGAGCAGAGCCTTGTTTCCAGGAAACAGTGCGCTGGTGGGAGATGGGTGTTTTTTTAAAAACATCAAGGTAGACCTAATATGTTCCACGAAGTGGGGCGGCTCAGCCAGAGGCGAAGTGGAAAGGTTCTGGAAAAACAAGATTCCTCGTATGAGAGAGGAAGAACCTGGCTCCGTTAGCCTCCCTGATAGAGCTGTCACAGTATCTCTGTGTTCTTAAACATGGATCTGGATGTTCCGGTCACCCAGTATCTGTCCGTTACAAAATCACCCAGGACATGAGGGTCCTGCAGTAACGGGAGAAGAGCAGTTGCCTGCAGACTCCTTCCGACCCATGCAAACGCCTGGCTGGGACCTAACTTCTCTGCTGATCTAGAAGTTAAAACGGAGTCTGCCGATAGCATCCTAAAAATTACTACTACCCACCACAAGAAAAGTGTCTCTGCTCTAAACTTATTTTTTCTTACAGATGCAGAAACCAGGGTGCAGAGATTTAGGATTTACCCAACCTGTAAATTCTCACCTCTAGTATTTGCTTATCATCTTGCTGCAGCCAGAAATCCACATGTGGAAAGGGCATCCAGGAATACGGTCCTATACGCAGTTGCTCTGTCTTTGCGTCGTAAATACTAATCATCTAAGAACATTTCCAGGATAGAATGTAAGGCATGTTCCCCGCTTCTCAAACCCCACCAGTAACGCCAACCCAGTGCAGTCCAGCAGTCACGCATGTACCTGGGGGCTAAGCTTCTCGAAAATGTCTCCTGATAAAAGCTGCTACTGCCCTGTGTGAGTAACATGCAGTATTTCCTCCAGTCCTGACAACAGTCCTTGAGGAAGATAGTGTTTTTCTCATTTGAGGTGAAAACCTGAGGCTCAGGGGGACAGACAGTGGGCCCGCAGCCGTGGGTGAGCCCGACCCAAGTCCACGGCGGCCGGACTCGCTGCTGCACAAACGTGCCGCAGAACCTGTGCCCAAGCACCCATGTACCTGCAACTTCAGAGCACACCGTGCAGGCCCATCAAAAGCCTGGAGAAACCAACTTGTACAAACGCTCATTTGCCCAATGATCCAATTCCCCGAATCCCCTCAGCTGCCAGTGGTGGGTTCAAACGAGCAGCGTTGGGTTTGGGTTCCTGAGACTGAGCTAGGTGCTGAAGTTAGCAGAGTCCAGGCTACTGTGCGGCTGCGAAAAGTGCAGAAGGAACCTTCCAGCTGTGCACTGGTTGGCAAAAGAGATCGCTCTGAAGGCCAAACATTTCTCCAGTGAAAACGTCCACACCCCATTCGTGCGCACACCTCTCGCAGGAGGGGCGTGCGTGTGTGTGTGTGTGTGTGTGTGTGTGTGTGTGTGTGTGTGAATGCGCTGTCAGGTGTCTCACACCGGAGAAGGGGTGAAAGCGCCCTTTAAGTATTTTTAAATGGCACGTAAGGCTTGGATTTTTCTCTAACTTCCAAAATTAAGGTGTTAGTATTAATAAAGCATCCCTGGCGATCAAACTTGTAAAAACCAATCTGATCATTGTTTTTGGATTAATCTACTTGTTCCAGCAGATCGCCCTTCAAGGACTTGGTCCAAAGGAGTGTGTGCTGCCGAGGGAGAAAACTCTTCTTCCCAGTGCCTGGGTCTCCTTTCCTTGTGGGACATGTAGGTAAAGGTTGCACTAAGTAAAAAGGGTCCGTTCTCTTTGCAATGAATGGTGGGGCACATGTTCCCTCCCTCTACACCTTCAAGGCAGAGAACTGGGGTCTTGAGATTACAACCTAATATTATTCTTTGTTGTGTGTGGGAAAGAGAGCTGATCCCTGATCATTTTATAGCTTTAAAGAAACTCAAACTGTTCACTTCTAAGGTCTACAAAACTTGAGGCTTTGGACTGCGATGCCCTTTTTTTCCCCCCCTGACTCTTAACACAAAGACGATTTCAAACTCACTGGTCCTCCTGTTAAAGCTCGGGCAGCACGGAGCTCCTCCTCTGGACCCCGATCTGGGAAGGATGCTCGGTAAATCTCTGCCGTCTTAATGTTGACAGCTGTGGGGGACAAACAACATTTTCTCTGACTTAAGACACAAATGGAAAGTTTGCATGGTCTTACATTTCTCCCACCTGTAACAGAGCGTGGTGAGTCTCCCCTAGAGAGAGAGGAGAATCATTCTGTTCATTTCCACTGTGAAGAGTGTACCTTCTCCCTTCGTGCAGAGGGAAACTCCTAGCGGGCCTCTGACCACCGTCCCATCTCAGCCGAGCCCGTTGCGCACACAGTGGGGCCCGGGCCAGACTCGGGAAGACTTTGCCCCCAACCAAGAGCAGCTCCCCCTGCGCCCATGGGCAGCCCACCATCCCTCCATGCAAGCGCATGGCAAACCTCCCTGCTCGGCCCTGTGACCGCATGGATCTCTGAACGGCTGGGGGCAGAAGTGTGGCATGGGATCATGGCCAAATCTGGTGTTTTTAAATGTTGTTACTTCCGCCATACACAATTCTAGGGAATGGAATATACGCGATCACAGATGGGACAGAAATCCTCTGCAAACACAGCTAGCTTCCCCCTGCTCTCAACCTCAGCGGCCCTAGGGGCTGTCGCGGGAGAGGGTTCTGGGTTTTCTTGAGCCCGAAGAGCTTTACGCTTTGCTTAGGAGGAACTGGGTTCGCAACCAGACCTTACCAGGTTGTTCATGTGTAAGGAGACGCAAATGCCTGTACTGACCCCGGAGCCCCGGCTGGAGGGGAGCCCTGTTCCCCGTGCCGCTGGCTCTGCTTTCTACCCGCTCCCTTGTTTGTCCCTGTGCTTTCAGGATTGTGGACATTCTTGGTTTTGTAGCCAGAGGGCAGAGAAGGCATGCTGCTTGCCCGGGGCCCGCAGAGGAGCGAGGACAGGAACCTACAGTGAGCACAGCGGCTCCCAACGTGATGACCAGAGCCTGTCCTGCCGGCACAGGAATGGCCTCTGACCCTCGACCAAACACGCTACTTACCAATGCCATGAATCACTGGAAAGTGGTTTTCGTTTTCTTCCCGGTCATTTAATTCTGACAATAACAACAAAAAGGTTCTTTTTAAGATCTAAGAAATACGCAACAATTGCCTTCATGTTCCATAATTAAAGCCAAGAAGGAGCCCACACTGCAAAAGGAGAAAAAATCAGAACACGCAACGGACTGTTTTCCTGCGTCCCTGCCAAGTCCCCGAGCAGGGGGGTCCCCGAGCAGGGGGGTCCCCGAGCAGGGGGGCTGACGGTCCACAAAGTGCCCCGTCCTGAGTTAGAGCCTCCCGGCCCCCTGCACCCTCAGCCGTCCACCACACGTGGGGAAGGGGCCGGGGAAGCCTCTGAAAGTCCCCAGGAAGGATGAAGGTGGGGGTCAGGGTGTCCGCGGGGGAGGGGCGGGCCGTGGCCACAGACGACACCAATGGCACACGCGTCAGCCAGGCGCAGACTCTCCCATGACTGAGGTGCTTCTGCGAGGTCTTGCTTTGAGGGTGAGGGCACCAGCTTTGGGGAGGACGGCAGAACTCACCTGTCACACACAGTGTCACTAAGTGAATGTCCTCTGCTTGTCTGTCAAATTCACCTACAACGATAGTTCCTAGTTAGCAGCACACAGGCTGAGTGAGGCGAGAAGGGGCCAGATTCCCACGGAAGGACGCCACAGCACCCCACGGGCCAAGTGACAGGCCCGTTCCCAGCCTCAGGCCCAAAGCAAACTGACCGAGGCTATCCCCTCCTCTCTCCCTGCTGAGGCCTGTGGGGGCACTGCTGATGCGTAGGCTTTTTACTCTTAATCAACAGTTATAAAAAACTTGATCACTGTAAGAAAAAAAAAGGGAAATACAGGCAAGTATAAGGAGTATATGGGTTTTTACTGGTCTAAGTACGTGGGTTTTTAACGTCCATAGTCCCAGCAGTGAGCGGCACGTACGTTTCCTTTCTTCCTGGCCCGCGCACCCTGCTGAGTCCACTCCAGGTGGGCAGCTTTATGTCCCCACAACGCACCTACCTTCCCACGTAATTCTAAGTCTTGCTTAATGGCTCCTGAGCTGTTTCTTTACTGATGGACATTAGACTATTTCCGAACGTAAAGAATGTTCTTACTGCCCATCTTTGGGCATACATCTCTGCGCACGTTGCCGGTGATTTTCTTAGATTCCCAGGTGCAAATTACTGGGTCAAAGGACATGAAACCTTTTTAAGACTCAAGCCAAGGGGCGCCTGGGTGGCTCAGTCGTTAAGCGTCTGCCTTCGGCTCAGGTCATGAT